AATTCCTTGTGGAGGGTGATGGGATCCTTCTTGAACAACTCTGGTCACATGGGTTCATGGTCAATAGAGTCCTAACGTCACCCATGGACTGTTTATGGCATCCATCCATATGGAAAGAGGCATCTGTCTCAGGATGTGGTGAGTGGACGGTAATGGAGTTCCTGTGACTATGACAGTTCCTCCCATCTACTGCTACTTGGGTTGAATTGACCATTTGACAAAACTTGAATGGGCTGGGGCCTAAATGCAGTCATTTCAATGGATATCCCTTTTTATTAACCAATTTTACGGTGTTCATTTTGGGCCCATGATAAATAGTAATGTTTTAAAAACTGACCTAGAGGTTGAATCATTTTTGCCTCTGCGTCATGGGTGATCGGTTTGATTGGCCGGGTCGAATGGTTCAGACTGTGTCATCTCATCGTATATATGTATTGAGTATGTATATATGTATATAAATATATTTTATCAATAAATAATGTATAAATATATGTTTTCGATATATTATATGTATTTTTATATTTAATTTATATTTTTATTTATAAAAATATTAAAAATTACAATTTGAGTCCAAAAAAGTTTTTTTTTTATATGGCGCATTGGAACACATAGATCTCGAAAAGTTGCCCAAAATCAAAAAAAAAAATCATACCAATTGAGTATCAGAGTGCAAAGTTATGGCCTCCGAAAGTTTGCATACATTGAGTGTTCAATGCGTGACCCGGTGACAAGATCAATGGTTGAACTGATTGGGTCGAATAGTTTTTGACCAAGTCAAGGGCTTTTGATTGTTTGACAGGTCTTGATTGAACCGGACCTAGAATCTTGGCCGGGTGACAGTTCAAAAGCTCAGGTCAATGGCTGGTTGAAAACATTGGTAAAGAGAACTTCATTTACCCGAGTAAACTTTCCCATCTCTCATGTGGACAAATAACTTTCTCATTTGGGAGAAAAGTTCATAAAGCATGATGAGCAAATTTTCCCTTTTTAACATTAATTTTTTATGAATAAAATGGTCATTATGTTATTTATTTGGGAATCAAAGAATATGAGTAAGTGAATTTATTCAAGTAAGTGTTACCCAACAAATATTTAAGTAAAAAATTGTAAACGAACAAGGCCTTCAAGTTGGGTAAGCACCATTATCGATCTAGAATTATTCAGTTTTTGTCTGTGCAAATGTTATCACACAAAGTGGTTGGTGATTAGGTTACAATTAATTAGTTTTAATCTCATAGAAAAAAATCATCCTAATAATGCAGTGGTTTGCAAGTTTCAATCTTGAGGTTCATTCTTGCCAGTTCCAAACAAGGGAATTGAAATGCCAACAACCAGAGTTTAGAGCCAGACCTTTCAGAACTGTTAGAGCTTTATAGAGGAAGAGAGGCCAGCAGATTGACAAGTTTTATAATTTAGGGGAGCAGGTTCCTTGGGATGATTTTTGGAGCCAAGGGTTTCAATTTCAACTTACAAACCCAGTTGTTTATCCTTCATGTGGGAAACTGAGGTGACAGCCCAACAGTCAATAAATAGAGTTTCGTGGTAGGTTTTCCACCTAGCCTATTGTCACATGGACAGCTGGACACTCTATCTTCTCTCACTCTTTCTTATTTGAAATGAATAAAATAGGAATAGAACAGCTGCAGTTCAAGTGGAGAAAGTCTGAAACGTGGTTCTTTGGTTAAGGGCTGAGGTGGGCAGGAAATGTACACTTGGCCAACCAATGCTGCCATTTGATTTGATGAACAGTTTGGATCATGGTTTTAAAAATCGAACCGAGAATCGATCAGACAATTGGTTTCGTTTTACCCTAAAATTGCTTGTAGGACAAAAATTGTTGATTTGATCACACCCATCAATTCAGATAATGGTTTTTGGATGTTTTTTTTTACATTTTTTTAGGGAAATTGTCTAAAATTCACGTTTTCAACAATTCTCTTAAACTCACCACAACTTTTCAAAATGTCTAAAACTCACCGTGTTGTGCCAGTAAGTTTTTATTTTCCAAAACTCACCTTCCGTTAGTACACCGTTGATGCTTCCTAACAGAGGTGTCCATGTGTTTTGTTATAATTTCCAATGTTTTTTTTATAATTTCTGTTTTTTTTTCAATTTTCAATTTTCAATTTTCTACAATCTATAAATTTTCCTGTATTTTTGTTATTTATTTACAATTTCTGTGTTTTTCTATAATTTTTTTTTTATTTTGTTTTTCAATTTCTATAGTTTCTATAATTTGAAAATAATTTTTTATTTTGTTTGCAATTTTTATAACTTTTTATATTTTTTGTAATTTCTATGTTTTTATGCATTTTATATTTAAAAATATTTTTTGAACTTTTTTTTCATGTCTAAATATTAAAATGGTAATATATTAATATCCATTAATTTATTTTATATATTTTATATTTTTCTATGAAGGTTAAAATGGTAATATATTCACACCCATTAATCTGTTTAATGTGAAGTTAGTCACATGGTGAATTTTAGACATTTTGAAAAATTGTGATGAATTTAAGAGAAATGCTGAAAACTCATGATTTTTTTTTGTTAAACCCAAATGAGCCGTCTATTCAAACCAACTGGTCAAACCTTTTTTGACCCAAAAACCAATAACCAAAACGGTTTCATGTCCGGTCCAGTTTTTATAACCTTGGTTTGGATTGATCTGAATCAGCCTTGCACATGGCCAGAAACCCAGGAGGCGAGGCGCAGCAAACTTCGATGTCTAGCGGCATTCAGCAGCACATGTGCAGAGTGAGGGTGCTCCGACACCCCAGTGGCCAGTTTAGTAGTTTTAATTGTTCTCTGTTCCATTCGATGCATCTGGGTCTTAACATTCTCAGTTTGTCCTCCTTTTGCGGTGTGATATGTGAGAATTGGGTATTGGCCCCTATTTTTAGTGGACATGTTCGATCCACACGTAGTGGGATCGTGCTTTTGAACTTCTGTTTCCCGCTTCAAATTTCTATTCGATGAATCTGGTTCGCAGTTGGCCCCTTTCTTACGATACAGAATTGGAACAGCCTCTAATTTGAGGATTAGCTGAAAAGGTCAATGTGCTTTGCTTTTAGATCTTTTGGTCCATAGAGTGAAAAGATCAAAATTTTGATACGACTCATATCGTATTTTTGGATTCCGAAACACCCGATAATCCTCTATTTTTAATGAAAAATATATATAAAAACCTTAACAAATAACAATAATCAATTTCTGAAAAAAATTGAAAAAATATAAAAGTGCAAGGTTTTTAGTGCCGAGATACTTTGAACTTTGCATATAGTTCATAGTTGTAATTGGAATCACAATCCCTCCAAGTTGGAATCGGAATGGTCTGTTCCCATTAATCTACTAGAATGGGATTTCATTCCTATGGGAGAGGGAGAATCCGGTTCCACCAGGAATGAAAATGAGATTTCAATTTTGCCTAACCGAACGGTCAAAATTGAAATGGGCCATTCTGGCCCTGTTTGTCAACGTTAAAATAAAAAGAAAAGGTGTTCTCGCGTGAGAACAACACCCAAAGAACACATTCTTTGAGAGTGAAAAATCGGCGCTCCCAAAGAACGCATGGTTCCCATGACGTTAACCCCTATTAACGAATACGTGTTAACGGTTCCCACGTGAGAGAAGGGGTATTTTGGGTATTTCACACTAAATGATAGAAAGAAACCCTACCAAACATTTCCATTCGGAAGTGAACTCCTCCAACTTGCCGCTGAAAATTTCAGAGGAAGGAGGGACTCCTTTAACTCCAGTTGGACAATGAGCGAACAATAGAAAGTACCGACGATATTTCTGGCATGTAGTTTAGAGATAAATTTAACAAACTGAGTTTGGTGTATAGGGAATTTGAAAAGTTACTTAAGCACACAGGGTGAATTTGCAAAACTGATGTTAAGAAATAGTTTCATTATCCAAACGCTATTTTTGTTCCTATAAAACAAAAAATCGTTATCAAAAAACAATTTGCCAAACGTATCTATTACTCCTGAAGAACAAGAAATAAAATTGTTGTTCTGGAACAGGAATTTCTAAAAGAATAGAAATAGGTGGGAACATTGCCAAACAGGACTTCTAATTCCCATTCTAGACCCTATTCCGATTTCTCCAACTTGGCCAGAGCTAGACTTGGTTAGGACTTAGAATAAGGGAAAGGGGCTTCACTAAGTTCTAGTGTGTTCTGTAAAACAAGAAACTTTACTTTTGTTTTTCAAAATTGAGATCTATTCCAATGTAAAATTCGCCGAAGCTCTACTTTTTACTAATTAAAACCAATTGAATATCTGATTGATTTTTCCATTACAACAATACCATCAAAGCCTTGTCCCAATTCCTTACTATATACATGAATCCTGTTTCAACAGTACTCATAAATGACTGCTAATTCCTCATAAAAAGGCCATGAGTTGAAGTAATAAGATTTAATAAATGATTTAAACACTCACAATATAACAGATATTGCACTAAACCAAACGGAAACAAAACGGGATTCATGTATCCAACCGCATATAGTTGGAAATGAAGATAGAGATGAAAAACAGGTGTTAGTATGTAGTATATTAGATGCACAAGGGATACGATAGAGATTTCAAGAAGAAAGTACTCCACCTCATGGTGGTTTTTGCTCTGTGAGTTGGAATTTCTAGTTCTACTTTACATCTAGCGTTCGCTGTGGCTTGTGCTCTGGTGGTGGTGGGGTTGGATATTGAGGGGAGACAATGGAAACAATCAAACAACACTGAATTCGATAACAGTTCGAAGTTTGTTCTTATCCATCTCTTTCTAGTTTGATATCTTTATTAACCCCCATCACCCATTAAAAAAACCAGAAAAAAATTGTAGCCCACTGAAGGGCAATAAGTGAACTCAATGTATGTCATTAACAAATGGGGTTAGAACTTAGAAACCAGGTAACCGAGCTTTTGGAACGATTAAAGAAGAAACTTCATAGTAAGAGTCATGGTGAAGCATGTGCTGAACAAGAAACTACGTTCACGTAAAGAAACTACAGCAGAGCCAAATTCATTAACTATCAGGAAAGCTTGCTTTGTTCTCTTCTTCAGGTATAATATATTGAGAATTGGTTACTTGTGCTCACATCAACCGAGAATTTCAACTACATTCAGCTCTTAATCTTTCTGATTAAGAACAACTAAAGAGAACTGGCATAAAGGTTCCTAAAACCAGCCCAAACAAATAGGGACTGAGACATTACTACTAGTAAGTCAAGGAGGAGGGCACAACTTCTGCAACAACCTCTCATCCAAGACCTACTTAGAAAAAAGCATAGAAAACTGTAAGTGCAAAAGACAACAAAACCCACAAGAATTTACAAAAAAGAATTACACAAGTAAAAGATGGTGTTCATCTTTCCTTGCTGAAACCGAAGTTAGTCAAAGCTTGATGAGCGGCTCCACCTCCCCTGCAGGTAGTCCTCCAGTGGGACACTCTGCTCACTGCTGCTAATGGAGAGTGAGTCATCCTCAACATCAAGCAATGCAACGTTAAGATGGGACTGGATGTTAGGAGGAGGGACTGCTTCATCATCCAGAGTATCAAACTGTTCTGAAGCATCCACCTGCATCCTTGCCCACTTGGATATCTCAGCATCACCTTGAAGGAGCTTCAACACCTATCATCAATAAAGAAAAACAGAATTGTAATAATTAGAACATCAATCCTATCAGAAGTGCTAAAAAAAAGTAGAGAAGATGTGCTTACAAGGCTCATTCGAGGCCGAGACTGAGGTGAACGTCTGATGCAGAGGGTAGCAGCTAAAACCATCTTCTCCATCTGATCAGGGTCATAAATATCACCTAAACATGGATCCAACAATTGGGTTGTCTTCCCTCCATTTAGAATTGGCTTTGCCTGATTATGCCATCAAATTACCATTATAAGCTGAAAAGTAAAAGGTTTTCAAACCAAAGAAACCACACCAAGAATATGCAGAAAGACCTACCCACATAACCAAGCTCTCCTGGCCCTTTGGACAATCACTGCTGATAGGCTTCCTTCCAGAAAGCAGTTCAAGAAGCACAACACCAAATGCGTAGACATCAATTTTGTCATTTACTTTGCCATACATGAAGTATTCTGGAGCCAAATATCTGCCAAAGAAAAATTTTAATTTAATTCCCAGGAAAAAGTCATGGGGATGCTAGAGGATGAGTGGATACAAACCCGAAAGTTCCCGCAACATCGGTGCAAGTTATATGGGATGATGAGGAAGAAGCCCACTTAGCAAGTCCAAAATCCGACAGCTGATGAAACAAACAAGGATGACATGAGTAATGGGTGACATTTACAACTGCAGTTACTCCAGATGGGAGGTTAGAAAATTTTAAAAGAACAGCACCTGGGGCTCAAAATCATCGGAAAGAAGGATATTAGATGATTTCACATCCCTATGGATCACAGCTTGATCACTTCGACTGTGCAAGTAATCCAATGCCTCGGCAACACCCAGTGCCACCTTATATCTCTCACTCCAACCAAATGCTGAATCGTCCCTTTTATTACCTAATAAACACCAGATAATAGAATACATAGTAAATCATACAATAAGACAACAGGAACCAGCAAATTTAGTCGATAGCTAAACAAGAAGGTTATGTACCATGGAGGTTCTCTTCTAGGCTTCCTCTGGGTAGGAAATCATAGACCAAGAGAAGATTGTTCTCCTCAAAACAGAACCCAAAGAGGGATGTGATGTTCTTGTGATGTAAAGCAGTAATTATCTCAATTTCCAAAACAAACTCATTCAGTACATCTTCGGATGGATTCAAAATTTTCACAGCAAGTTCCTTGCCATCAGGAAGATGCCCTCTGTAAACCCGGCTACTACCTCCTTTTCCGATCAAATTCTCTGGAATTAGAGATGAGAACATTACAAAGAAGCCCCATTTAACATATTATAACTCAAAATTATATCATATAATCATGAAACTGAAAACAAACCTGTCGTGAAGTTAGAAGTAGCAGAGACAAGCTCCTGGTAATTGAATAATCTGCACGTGGCCGAGTATTTCTCGTGTAGACCTTCTAATTCTTTTGGAAGGTTCTTGTAAGGCGAAGCTGGAGGCACGATAGCATCAGTATCCACTGGAACAATTGCACCGTTCTGTCCATCCAAATTGGAAGAACAATCTTCGTCCTTATCACAAGAAGCTTGTTTACAATCAGGATGCACTGCTGCCGAAGAATTCCTACCGGGTATCCGCATTGCCCACTGAACTACAGAGATCTGCTTTACAGAAGATTTTGCTGAACCTTTAGCCTTCCGGTCAGGTAAAATTGAACGGCGAAGAAGTGGCCAACCGGGTCTCAACTCTGGAACTTCTCGAATCAGCAGAGAAATTGAACTTGATGCAGCCTCTATGGTCTGTACTGGTACCAATGCCAAAGAATTGCCTTCACTATCGCAACCATTAGGCTCTTCTGCAGTTCTAGAACAATGGGTATCCCGTGAAATAGAGTCCGGCGCACAAATTGAACAATTCCGTTTCAGTGCAACTGGCAAACTCTCCGCCACGGATTTCAACAAGTCCGCCTCAGAATTTCGAGCAGCTTCCTCATTATATACCGTGTCAACTTCTGCCGTTGCCGTGGCAGTTGCATCACTTAGTACTTTAGAATTTTTACTCAGTGACCGATGAATTGAAGTAAGAAAATTCTTGCGCGGGCGTTCTTCCGCTCCTGCCACAAGAAGTAAAAATTGAGAGAGAAATCCACTCTGAATCAACATCAAAGTGAACATAAAAACTAGAAAAAAATACAGAAAAAACAATAAAAAAAACCTAATGAGCCACCGGTGGATGCCGAAGTTGCCTCTCTTTCGAATACGATCTTCCCATTATTAACCGCAAGAACCCAACAATCTTTGGAGAGTTTTCTCGCGCAGTACTTCGCAATCGAAACCGACGACCCAATTGTGTGATGGTGAGTAGCAGTCCCAACAATGACCTTGCTAGCCACATAGGATTTCGCTTCCCTCACCAGAACTTTTCGGATGGATGAACCTCTACAGATCTTAAGTTTAAGATCCACCTTCAACATTTCCACCAAATCAGACTCCACAACAAAAATTAAGAAAATAAGGAGGGAGGGAGAGAGAGAGAGAGAGAGAGAGAGAGAGAGAGAGAGAGAGAGAGGGGGAGGGAGGGAAGGAATGAGGGAGCGATGAAATTTAACCTGCTTCAGGTTGCAGAAACCTTCATAAACAGCAAGTACAGAATCAAAAGCTTTAACCAGCGACAGCAGAGACGATTTGCCCTCTCGATCAAGAATTTCTGCCAAAAATCAAAACCCACAAATTTAAACCAACAATATGAAAAACCGACGGATAATTTGTTGGTTATTTAACCAACTATTTATTGACTATTCCCAGTTTCTTCTCTTACCCGTATTGCCGAGAACATGAAGAGCAATAACACGATCTCCAGGCTGGGCGACTTTGACGAGAGACCACGTTAGTAACTCTCTACTTTGCTGATCCAACTTCACTCCCACCACAACCGTGCGGCCCTCACCGCCCCCGCCACCACCACCACCACCACCACAACCCTCGCCGCGACCTTCCCCGACGGGGAGAGTTCTCATAATAGTCATTGCGCTTCTTCTGATCCCTTAGATCCCAATCGCCCTCTTCTGTCTCCCGTCGTTACTCTCCGGTCCATCAATTCGTCAAACACATTTTCTGCCTGAGAATAACTGATTTTATATCTTCGTTGAGGATGGATGCCTTTTAACCCGTTAACCGCTGTTGCTTGCTTCCATCCGCCTTTCTCAGGGAAAGAGAAAGTGCCTGCAGTATGAGTCCCGACAATAAATCATAAATCATATCTAATACGTCTTTTTAATCAATCTCGACCGTTCGTTCCACAATTCTGTAGGACCCACAAGCCGAGCGGTGAAAAAGCTGGGCTGCTGGGTTAAAAAACAACGATGATGTAATACCTGAAGCCGTTGGATCTTCATCGGATGGATATGACCATGTTTTTACATCATTAGCCCCACAGTTTGAGTTTTTGGATGGATTAAACTTGTGGGCCCTATTTATTCGCATCTAATCTTGGATTCTTATGGGCGGTGATGAGGCCATTAATGCCTAAAAGGAGAATATGGAATCATATCCCTCTCCACGGAAGTAGATGCTTTGCTTGCTTTTAGCAACGTAAGTGGCTTTGTTGTACCGTAGGTTATCATTACTCTTTATTAGTTCCACCAGCGAACAACTGTAGAGAGTAAAGAAAAGTCAGGTTTTTAATGACAAAATTACCCTTACTATTTATTGATATACCGAAAGGGTCCCTCCCTTTAAAGCACACTTTGAACCAGTCTAATGCCCCTCCCTTACCCTTTTCGCGAAATTTGACTTTAACAGGAGTACCATCTTCATCAACCCAAAATATTTCAATCCAATGGATGAGATTCACAACTGAACCATTTGACCAGTCTCTCTACTGGGCTCACGGATTTTGATTTACATTCTGGGCTTTGGCATAAGTTAGGCGCCTTGTTTGGATTTATCTGAAAAAACGCATTTTAATGGTTTGTTCGTATGAGTACCGAGACTGGGTACAAGAATCACGAGGGCCATACCGCCATAGCAATCGCCACTGCTCCTTGTTGGTATTCTGGATTTTAACTTTATCGCAGGTCGTTTTGCTCTGTGCTTTTAGCAGAGCACGAATCAGAGAGTCGAGGGACGATGCCCACTTGTTTCTGTGAATTTGTGGATATTTAAGTGAACACCTGCTCCATACGTTTTCTAGTTCATTGGGTAGTGTATGAATCAATGGGGCCTAGTTAATATTAAATTGCTTTTACTGATGAAACAAGGCCTTACTAGGTTTGGTTGGTGGTATATATTATATAATGCTGCATGCTTATCTGATGTTGATTGTTCAATGGGACGCTGGTGAGACCAGAATCGTTAAATAAAAAATAAAAAGGGAGAATGATCAATCAGCCCAGATCAGAATTTTAAAGTATAGGGGGAATGCATGTTACGTAAATTGATATCAAATTTACGGGCAGGATGTAATTTATAGGGAGAGAGGGCTAATAGTAAGAGGGACTGGAATTCAGAATTCTGCATCGCATGTATCATCCATTCTCCCAATAAAAAATGGTTTGAACTAGAACATTTTTCTAACTTTTGTTGGTAAATAAAGGGGGGAGGGTATAGTATGTGAACTCAGCCTGATTCAAGATGGATCGATATCTATGAGATGTGCTTAAAATATGCCACTAAAACCATTATTAAAACATAGGATTCACGAAATTTGCCACGTGTAGGGTATTCAAAGGATAGGATGATTACATAATTTTCTAACATTTCTGACATTACATAGCCTTACTCATCAATCGTCCAAATATTGACAGCATGCTTTTCTTTTTTATTAATTTTAATTAAAATGGGACAGGTGGCAAGTTATAGATCCAAAATTTTATCTCTTATTCATGCCCTAGTAAGGTCTCGTTCTTTTGATGGGAATAAGGAGAGTTGACCAACTTTTTCACCTTCTTTTACATCCCTCGAATAAATTTTGGGCCACTTCTCTCTAAGGCTGCATTTGGCATTCTTTACTTTAAAGATTTATCTTTCAAAAACTCATTTTTCACAAGAGCATTTTAACTGTAAAAACTAGATAAATACTTAAAATAAAGAATGCCAAATGCAACTTTAAGTATTATCATTTTCATTTTCCTAGCTGAACAAATCACTTTCCATTAAAGAAGGTAACTACTCAAACTGTTGTGAGATTAAAATGCCTCTATCAGCGCACAAAACCCAAAGATAAAAATGATAACAAAGGAAAAATACTTTCTAAACATAAATAAATGCTTTCATTAGAAAATGCTAACCGAATGACACCTCCTCAGGAAAATATGTTCTAGCAAAAGAATAAGACCTTAAATAAAAAAAAAAAGATCAACGTTCTTGGTCAAACTTCAGCATTGATAATAGTATTTCTATTGTCATGTTAATCAACAAAATAATTCACGCTGAGCTTATGTGTTAAAATGAAAAAAAAAGAAAAAAAATAAGTCACTTTGCCTGGTTACTTTTTGACCAACCTCTATACCTGACAAACATTACCCAATTAGAAACCAACATGAATTTGGTATTGATTGATTGGTTATAGATTTTAGATACGATTTTTAGCATATAAGGGCAATTTTTTGGGGTTTAATATCAATAAAATAATATATTTAAAAAAAATCAAAAATAGGTTAATTTTTTAAAAATAATATCAATAAAGTGCAAAAACATTGTTCATCTTCTTTTTCTTGCCATTTGTTCACCAAAACCGTTGTCCGTCGCCATCTGCCACTGCCCGCCACCGCTGTTCGCTGTCGCCCACCTCCGCCTCTGCCCGTCACCGCCGCCACCACCTTTGTCTCCACCCATCTTTGACAACGTTGCCGGAGGCGGAGGCGGAGGTGCGCATAGGTGGCGGTGTTGGACAGAGAAATCAATAGCGCCACCGCCACCACCTCTAACAACATTTCCAGAGGCAGAGGCAGAGGTGGCGGCGACGGTGGGCGATGGTAGGTGGTGGCAGACGGCGGCGGATGGCGGCTCTAGTGAACAAATAGCAAGAAGAAGAAGATGAATAGTGTTTTTGCCTTTTATTGATATTATTTTTAAAAAGTTAACCTATTTTTGATTTTTTTTAAATATATTACTTTTATTGATATTAAACCCCAAAATGAGAAAAATACACATACGAGTTCTAATTTGATGGTTAACTTACATGCTTACATGGTGTTTGGAAGCATGGGCGCTTTTTGGGACCGATTTTCAAGAAAAAATGCTCATGCTTCCAAAACCCGTTTTTCAAAAAAAAAAAAAAAAAAAAAACGCTTATGCCATGTAGGTAGTGAGCAATACTATGCTATTTGGTAAGGTGATTTTTATCACCGTTTTTCATGTATGTGCTGATAGGTAAGCACCACATAAGATACACATCAGTCAACCATTGTGGGAAACGGTTCACCGACGTTCAATGCATTGGTGAGGTCTCGATTATCGAGGCATGCCCAATTTTTTAATAATCGGCTGAACCAAACAATGAGATACATGGGCATTTGTTGAAATGCCTATGTGGATCCGATGTGGCACTATTTTTTGAAAAACAACCATGGTTCCAAACATCCCCTTAATATTATCATAGTTAGAACTAGACCTGTTCAAGGCCAGGTAGCATGATGGCTGGCCCGCCCCGACCTATCTTAAGTCCATGGGTTCGGGTTCTAAAAATTGAGCCCGATTATTTCTCAAGTCAGGTTTGAGTTTTTCCAAATAAGTCTAGTTCAAGCCTGAATCCAGCCTGATAACAGAAATTAAGGTTTTTAAAATCGACCCGGTGATCGAACCGGTCAGGGGTCTGGTTACCGGGTCAAATGGTCCGATTATTCGAACCGAACGCTTGGTCGAATGGTTAACCGCTCGGTTCAGCGGTGCTGACCAAAACCAATGGTTTTGGGGGGAAATCCGGTTTTTGGGGAAACGGAACCGGTCACTTGATCGGTTCCCGATTTTTCGAGTCCGATAGTCCAGTTTTGAAAACCATGACAAAAATATAATATATAATGTATATTATATAATAGTAAAATTAATAGCAAAAAATGTATTGTATATATTATCTATATATAGAATAATATACAATATATTATTAATAATATAATTAATGTATTATAAAATACCTTTCAAAACCGGGCTTTGGGCTTTATATAGGGCCGAGCTTAGATTTGAACTTGGTGATTTTTTGTTTATAGAGAGGTAGAGCTCGGCCCATGAACAAGTCTAGTTAGAATCCTTTGTCCGAACCCAAGTCAAGGTTCAAAATATCGCAACGTATCGGTTTGTATCGGATAATACATATCGTTTCAACAAGAATCTGATACGCAGAACGTGTATAAATCATACGTTCCATTTTTTTATACATATTAGCTGATATGAGCCCATACCAGTTTGTTTCGGATATGTATCGACTGATACGGGCCCGATATAGTTCGATATGGACCCAAAACAGTCCGATACAGTTCGGATTTGTATCGTTATTCATTAATCCATATTTAATACCGAATCTCTCATTAATTTCGTTTATTTAAGTCTAATTTCTCTTCCATTAATTAGTCAGTTACTCCAAAGCAAATTTAAATTTAAATTTGAATTTTAGGATGAGTTTGGAAGGAGTACAAATGCAAATATGTAGAGTGCAAAACCTTATATTTTGTATTATTTCATATATATTTACGTTGTACATATTTGCATTTGTACTCCTTCAAAAGTGAGCCTTAGCCCCTAATTCAAATTCTCTCATTAATTCCTTTAATTAATGATCCCCTATCATTAATTTCGTTTTGTTAGTGTAAAAACTTCAAATTTTAGATATAGCAAGATTCAAACCTTGGTCACTTGATTTTAAGTTTTAACAACCACAAGTTTGTTAATGAGTCACACATATTTGTTTGCTATGATTATATGTATTTTTAGTTTTAAGTAAATGTTCACTTTTCTTATGACTGACACGTTTTTATTAATAAATGCTAGAATTAATTATTAAAATTTATATATTAATAAATATTAAGATTAATTATATTAGTTTTTGAAAATTGACATTCACATTTTAGTTTTAGTTTTTTTTTTTGTTTTTTTACATTTTAGTTATTCCATCATTTTTTCAACGGTTACTAATTGTGTCCCGATATATCACACTTTATATAAACCATTAAATTATGGTTTTTATATTTAAATGACTTATTTACAATCATATAAAATTTATAAATATAGTT